CCCTCTCTTTAGTTCTAACATTTGTGCCACACTCTCATACTTACACTCTCTCTAAATTTTATTTTTTTATTTCCGGAGTTGTTTTTTCTGTTTTCTTTTTGAATTTGTAGGTCTGATGAATTGGATCGTATTTATGACCCAATGGAAAATTATGACCATGGAATATTTTTGTTTATATATTTTTCTTATATATATATATATATATATATATATATATATATATATTAAACTAATAATTACACTCGGTTGTAAAAAAACCTCGGATTGCACAATTTGCTAGTATATCAAAACAAATTGGTATCCGAAGAAAAAATTGGAAAATAAGAAAGAAATGGAAACATCCGAACAGGGCGAAAAATTGTCTAGTGGCTTAAAATTTCCAGACCAAATAAAAAATAGGTTAGAATATATATATATATATATATATATATATATATATATATATATATATATATATATATATATATATATATATATATATATATATATATATATATATATATAAAAAAACAAACAAACATAATAGAGCATATTATGTAATGGACAAAGTCCGATAATTATTTTAAGATTATTTTTATGTTTATACGTTCTTTTTATAGATAAAAATATTTAAGTAAATGGTTTGTTTATAATAAACAGTATTAACGATATTTACCGGCCTGAATATCCGAGAAATTTTCAACAAAATATGCGTCCTCCGACAGGAATCGAACCTGTATCCTATACGGAACCGTCATATAGCCTGACGTGCTTTACCGATTTAACCACTGAGAATTGTAGTTTAAAAATAGTAAAATCTACCTTGCTAACCGGAACGCTCCTATGTGGCTAAATCGGTAAAGTACGTCAGGCTATTTGACGGTTTCGTATAGGATACAGGTTCGATTCCTGTCGGCGAACGTATATTTTCTATGAAAATTTCCCGGACATTCCGGCCGGTAAACTTTGTTATTACTGTTTATTATAAACAGAGCATTGCCTTAAATATTTGTATCTGTAAAAAGAACGTATAAACATAAAAAATATATATATATATATATATATATACATATATATATATATATATATATATATATATTCTGACCGATTAATGCTTTATATCTGTTGTATAATATACAAGGTATGTTTTTCCCTCTTTTTAACAGAGATCAAGATCGATATGTTTTCATCGGAAAACATCAGTCCTTGTATCAATAAAAGAAAAATGCTGCTATCGATGGTGAATGAAGCAACCAACATTTTTAGTGGATTTGCGAAAGAGTCATTCAACTTCTGAATTAATAGATTCATTGATTTATTTTTATGACTTATCAACCTTTTGGGGGGTTATTTAATGTCTGAAAATATTTTTAATTTGTAAGAATTTTGGGAGAGATTGTACTGATTTATTGATAAGGTCCTATTAACTAATTTATACTAAATGGGAAAGAGCTGGTTTACACCTTTCCCAAGGGTATACGCGCTTAAATAAATATGATGAACCCGACTGGAGCTGGACCTCGGCTCTCTAATCTCCAATTGAAAGCTGTTATCAATTACACCACCCTCACATTCAAGATTACTGCATATTGATATCCCGAAATGGTCACCGATCTGGTTCGATGTTTCGGTGGTCGTACGAGAACACGTAATTCACGTTAAAACTGAAACTACAAAATTATAACTATTTGCTTTAATATGTCAAGTAGATTATCTCTGTCTATATTTCTGATATGAGGTATTATGCACATTATTTACATTATTTAGACTATTGTCCTCATCGTTGTTGCCATATTTATTACAACGTTTCGGCCGTTGTACGCTCCGACCTTCTTCAGATGGTTGGAATGTCGAACTGAACCCTTTATTTCGCTCACTGGGGTAAACTGTTCTAGTTCTACATGTCATGTTTAATGGAAGTCATTTATCAGTTATCTCCAGTTAATTCCCCTCTCCAATTTCTCAACTGCCTTAACCGGGTATTGAACTCACATTCTTTGGGTCCTGTCACTGGATCTAACTAACGCCTTTATCCACTGTGCTATGTGTCCTTGAAGACACATGGCACAGTGGATAAAGTGTTCAGTTCGATATTCCAACCACCTGAAGAAGGCCGGAACGTACAACGGCCGAAACGTTGTAATAAATATGGCGACAAAGATGATGACAATAGTCCGAATAATGTAAATAGTTGTCCAGGGTTCTTTTTTATTTATAATTCATAGAATATTACACCGTGAGTGTTGTGACAAACAGTAATCGCCAAAGAAATACTAGTCCGAATGGAAGATAATCTGAATTAAATGTTTAAACATTTCTAAGATATTTTAACCCTTTAATGCCCACTGCATTTTTGTTAATGATGAAAATATATAAACGGAGTATTAATTATAGACTTATCAAAAAATTCAGCAAAGTTTAATAAACGTAGCCGAAAAACACTTTGTATCAAAAGGACGGTTTGTCTCTTGACAACGATATTACTGATAACATTTTACTGATAACATTTTACTGTTTTAAAAACTTATTTTAAAAATTCTAATAAAATCAAAACATGAAAGGTATATTTATACATGAAATATTTATTATTTTCCATATCTAAAACAAAAAATAAAAAAAGCTATGAATGAATCTGAGATATGAGGAGAAAATTCATTATGTGTAGAAGGATATGCGTATTTAATTTTTTATGCTTTATATTTTACGGATATTTTTTATAAATTTCTGAATAAAAACTTGTTTTCATAAATATTACTTTATAAGATGGTAAAAAATTAAAATACTCCATTCAATTTGGTTAACATAACTTTTATAATTCTGTAAATATAAAAAAAATATTTTTGCAAATAATGAATCCAATAAATAAATAAATAAATAGTTTTTAACATTTTTCTTGTTAATCCTCGAGAAAAAATATATTTTGATATGTTTAGGCTTTCTTAAAATGATAAAAATAGATTTTGAAACAATAAAAAATTGTCAAAAAGGTTTACAGCAATACTGGTGTCAAGAGAAAAAAATGTTCTTTATAAACACCGTGTTTTGCAGATATCGTTATTAAACTTTACGAAATAATCCGGTTAATCGCACTATTAACCTCATCGCTATATTCACAACGTTCTGGCCGTAGTATGCTCCGGACTTCTTCAGGTGTTTGGATTTTCGAACCGAATCCTTTATTTCGTTCACCGCGGTAGACTGTTCTAGCGTCATGCCTTTTCCAGATGTCTTTCATTAACGGAACAAGATTTGGTTTACCTCTGCCGTGGCCTGGTATTGAACTCACAACTCTCTGCATCTAGTCACGTCAAACCAACGTCTTTATCTATTGGGTCATGTGACTTTGAAGACACGCGTGCGAGAATGTTTTGGATTTATAAGCCCAATTTCTCAGTCATAATCTTCTTACCAGTGCTCATATTGCATTTTTTTTTTGTTATTCCATGCTTTTCTCTAGAACTCCTTATTACTTCTTCTCAGTGACTAGACCGAAAGAATTGTGAGTTCAGTACCACAGCAGCGGTGAACCAAAACTTTAAGTGTGGAGTTAAAGGGAAATAACAGAGACACCCGGAAGAGGCATGGCACGTGGATCTAGAACAATGTACCCCGGTGACCGAAAAGGTCTCAGTTCGAAATTCCAATAACCTGAAGAAACGTTGTGAATGTGGAAATGAAGATGATAACAGTCCGAGTAATGTAAATAACTAAAAAAAAACATAATATATTGAAAAAAATTCGTATTCATCATCGGTTTTTATCTCTGATTTCTTAATGGCTAACACCTCAAAAATGTCCCATGAAGGCTTTAATTGTTTAAAATGTTTATTACTTCACTAGAGAATTAAAAAAATGTAAGTCCTTAAGAATTGTCAAATGACTGTCATTATGCATTGTTGATGCCTATGTCTGCATTGTAATTTATAATTCTCTCGGATTTCCACCTATCTTTACTGATAATGGCCGGCTTAGGTTTAAGAAAAATACAGAGGTCATAACACGATAAGAACAAAGATCTCCTTCCTTCGCTCTTTCTCTGATCAGTCCTAATTGATTTATTAGCCCTTAAGCAGAAGAATATTTTCTTCACAAGTCAAAGAAAAATTTGGATTACTACTGCATACAAAAGACAACAGAGAAAAAAAGAAAAGAAAAAGTGTATTTTTAACATTGTGGGTAAAAGCAAAAAAAAAAGCATCGGAAAACACAAGGAGAATTAATTCCTTTTAATAATATGTGGAAATAACCAATCTTTGCCTGATGAAAGTCCTGAGACCTGAAACCCATGTAGCAAACATATGAAAATAATGTATAATATATATTTAAAAAATCTACATTATAACCAAAAGCTTTGCAAAAAATCCGGTATTCATCATCGGGTTCTACCTCTGATTTCTTAATGGCTAGTACCTCAAAAATGTTCCATGAAGGCCTTAATTGTTTAAAATGTTTATTACTTCACAAGAGAATTCAAACATTGAACAAATGTCAAAAATCAGTAACGTTATCGGAATCTTGGTGAAAACAAAGGAAACTTATGAAGGTGTCGGTCGAAACGATGTGTTGACAAGAAGAATTCTATTACAAATAAGATATACGATCGTCCGGACGAAGTTATACATTTTAACGACTCTTCTTAAAGTTAGGAGACGGCAACTAAAGTCTATTTTATTAATCTAGGTCTATTTCCCGACGGTACCAACTTTCAGCTAACAGCGACATCATATTTGTGAGAACTATTGTGGAGGAAGAGCAGCACGTTCCCACTCGGTTAGAGTAATTTTTCTGTTGGAATTCTATAATGTGAAATGTTTTTTTTGCTTTTACCCACAATGTTAAAAAATACACTTTCTCTTTTTTTCCACCTGATTCCTCTAAGGTCGAATGAATGGCGTCCATTGCACGGACCTCGATGTTTTCGGTAGAACGAGACAATTCACAACGATACTGTAAACAGATTGATCTATTAGGTTACGAGTAAAATTCACGATCCTCCAAATTTAGCAGGAGATAATCACAGCATGTTGATGACTTACTTTTTTTTTTCTACATCTAATTCTTTCCATTTATCGTCCTTTCCTTTCTACGGTTTGCGTCTCTCCTCTTTCCGAATTTTCTCTCTTTTATACTTTATATACTGTTATGTTTCTTCTTTACTTTCTACATTGATATCTCCTACTTGTTACGTCTTTTTCTTTCTTTCTATGTTACATTTCTTTCTTTCTTTCTTTCTTTCTTTCTTTCTATGTTACATTTCTTTTTTTCTTTCTTTATTTCTTTTTTTTTCTTTTCTTTCTTTCTATGTTACATTTCTTTCTTTCTTTCTTTCTTTCTTTCTTTGTTACATTTCTTTCTGTCTATGTTACATTTCTTTTTTTCTTTCTTTATTTCTTTTTTTTTTTCTTTCCATCTTTCTTTGTTTTTTTTTCTTTCTATGTTACATTTCTTTTCTTTCTTTCTTTCTTTGTTACATTTCTTTCTTTTTATGTTACATTTCTTTTTTTTTTTTTTTTTTCTTTTTTTTCTTTCTTTCTTTCTTTCTTTCTTTCTTTTCTTTCTTTCTTTGTTTCTTTTTTCTTTCTATTTACATTTTTTTTTCTTTCTTTCTTTTTTCTTTCTTTCTTTCTTTTTTCTTTCTATTTTTATTTCTTTTTTCTTTCTTTCGTTCTATGTTACTTTCTTTCTTTTTTTTTCTTTCTTTCTCTTTCTTTTCATATATTGCATTTTCCTTTTTATTTACTGTTTCTTTCTTTCTTTCATTTTCTCTTTTTTCCTTCTTTCTTTTTCTAACATTTGTATCCCATATTTCTTCTTTCTTTTTTTTTCTTTCTTTTCTTTCTTTCTTTTTCATTTTTTCTTCCTATTTATTACATTTTTCTTTCTTTCTTTCCTTTTCTTTTCTTTCTTTCTTTTTTCCTTTTTTTATTCCCATATTTCATTTTTTTCTTTCTTTTCCTTTCATTCTTTTTTTTTATATTACATTTTTCTCTTTTCTTTTCTTTTCTTTTTTCTTTTCTTTTTTCTTTATTATTTTCTTTTCTTCATTTTTTTCATTACATTTTTCTATTTTTTCTTTTTTTTTTCTTTCTATTTTTTTCATTTTTTCTATTTTTCTTCCTTCTTTTCTTTCTTCTTTCTTTCTATTTCTTTTCTTTCTTTTCTTTCTATATTTTCTGTTTTCTTTCTTCTTTCCTATATTTATGATTTTTTTTCTCTTCTTTTTTCTGTTTTCTTTTTTCCTATATTACATTTTTTTCTTTCTTTTTTTTTTTATATTGATTTTTTTTCTGACGAAGCTACATTTCTTTATTTTCACTTTTTTCTCCATTTTATCGATCTTGTTTTGTACATTAATTCTTTCTTCTTTTCTTTTGTTCATTTTGTTATATTACGTTTGTTTCATTCTTGTTATCTTCTCTACAATATACTTCAATCATTCATCAAATTTAATTCCATTTTCTTTACATTTCTTTCTTTTCTACATTATAAGTCTTTCGTTTTTATTCTTTTTTCTTACATTTCTATATTATGACTCTTTCTTTTTTCTTACATTTTTCACTTTTCTTACATTTTTTTCTTTTTTCTTACATTTTCAGGCTCTACATTTCGCTTCTATCTTTGAATGTTAACATTTTGTATTTTATTTCCATTTTTCCTTTCCACAGAACCTTTCTGTATATTCTCAAACTTTTCTGGATATTTTACTTAGATCTTTCTTTCAGTTTCTTTAGACATTATTTCTTTTCCATTCGATTTTATTTTCTTTTTCATTATTTTCTATATTTTAGTCTTTCTATCTTTTTTTCCTTTTCTTTTCTTATAAAGGAAGGATTATATTGAATCAATTGCGTGGTCTGCTGCCAGAAAAGTTAGTTTTCTCTTGCCAGAATCTATTTTACATATTTAAAAGTCTACCATTCATTCATCGCATATTACCGTCACATCTGATATGTGCCTTCTGCTCTCTCTCTTTGTAGAGTTTCTAGATAAAAACAAAAACGAATCTGCAATATTATTGGTCCTGACCTACCATCTCTGCTTCAGTCACTTTTCCACCCCGTAACGTAGATTCCATCTGTTTTTTTCCTAGAAATAATTTAATGGTATTTATTTTGATGAACTTTCCTTTATGGTACGTAGATTTTATGAATTTAAGCACTGTACTAGATTGGCAGCTAGGTCTCATCATTTTACAGTTAAAATAGCTACATATGTCCGTAAGTTCTAGGCTAACAGTTGATTTTCCCGCATTTCTAGCTTGTGGAAATCTGTTTCGATGTCATGCTTTCCAATCAACTTTGATTTCAATATATTTAAATGCTATTTGAATCGCTTTCTTTTGTCTCCTTAACTCATTGCGTTGTTCACTCCACTTACTAATGTTTATTTATTCCTATATTCTTTATTCTCATATTCTTTATTCTCATATTCTTAATAATCTATCTTTATTCTCATATTCCCTCACTCCTTGGGATTTAGTGACTACATTTTTTTGCACCGGTGAAATGATTAGAAGATACAGAAGTTTTATTAATATTTCTTTTCTGTTTTATTGTTTTTTTTCCGTTTCTACATTTACCTCTTCTCAAATTATTTTTTCTACATATTCATTCTTGCGGTCTTCCTTTTCTTCCACATTTTTTTTCTGTTCTATCTTTCTTTCTTTCTTTCTTTCTTCTTTCATTCATGCCTTTTCTTTCTTTCTTTCGTTGCTTCTTCCCTCCATTCATTCATTCATTCATTCATTCTTTCTTTCTTTCTTTCTTTCTTTCTTTTTTCTTTCTTTCTTTCCATGCCTCCTCCCTTTATTCATTCCTTTCTTTCTTTCTTTCCATGCCTCCTCCCTTTATTCATTCCTTCCTTTCTCCTTTCTTTCTTTCTTCATTTATTCTTTCCTTTTTCCTCCCTTCATTCCTTCTTTCTTTCTTCATTCATTCTTTCCTTTCTCCTTTCTTTCTTTCTTTCTTTCTTTTTCCTTCTTTCTTTCTTTCTTTCTTTCTTTTTTCATTCATTCTTTCCTTTTTCCTCTCTTCATTCTTTGTTTCTTTCTTTTTGTTTCTTTTTTTTTTTTCTTTTTCTTTCTTCTTTCTTTCTTTCTTTCTTTCTTTTCATTCTTTCCTTTTCCTTTTTTTTTTCTTTTTTTCTTTCTTTTTTTCTCCTTTTCATTTATTCTTTTCCTTTCTTTCTTTTTTCTTTTCTTTTCTTTCTTCATTCTTTCTTTTCTTTTCATTTTTCTTTCTTTCTTCATTCATTCTTTCCTTTTTCTTTCTTTCTTTCTTTCTTTCTTTCATTCCTTCCTTTTTCCTTCTTTCTTTCTTTATTTCTTTCGTTCTTCATTCCTTCCTTTTTCCTTCTTTCTTTTTTCATTTGTTTCTTTTTCCTCCTTACTTTCTTTCGTTCTTCATTCCTTCATTTTCCTTCTTTCTTCATTCATTCCTTCCTTTTTCTTTCTTTCTTTCTTTCTATACTTCCTACCTTCATTTATTCCTTCATTTTTTTCCTTCTTTCTTTCTTTCTATTGTCATCGCTTTATTTTTTCCTGTTTTATACATCATTTGTTTGTAGTTTTTTTCTTGAGAAAAAAGATCGGACTACCATTGTCTTCGGATGATTGTTACAAAAGTCTTTCTTTAGCAAATCTTTTAATGACAATTTCATTTTAACATTTAGTATCAAAGATATCGTCTGATTTGTTGACAAATAAAGCATTTTTAAAACGTCTATGTCGCTATAAGCAAATATCATTTTTTATATCCATCTCATATATTTTGTTTTTGCTTTACTTAATAATACAAAAATGTCATTAGATCAAATATTTTCCCTTAAAACATATTTCTAATTCAGCGGAGATAAAATACAGATGTAATTTTCTGATTTTTAATCAACATGCCGTTGCTTCCATCTGCCTTTCTATACGTATTTTCAGGCAACTTCTCCGACGAACGACTTTCGCTGGTATCCCAACTGCGTGAATTTAAGAGTATTACTTGGTTGGCATTTCGGTCCCAGCCTTTCACTGTCGAAAGGATTAAATGTAGCCGTCTCTTCTGCTCTAACAGATTCTTACCTCGCACTTCCCGGCTGTGGAAATCCCTTCCTATCACTTGCTTCCCTGATAGCTATAATCTTCAAATATCCAAATGTAATGTCAATCGACATATTCTGATGCCTTGATTTTGATCCCCGTCCTCCTCTTTATCCTTTCCTCAAACACCCCCTCTTTATTCTTGCTCCCACTCTCTGTAACCCCTTGCGTGCTAGTGGCACTCCAGCCTTGCTTGGGGTGAAATGCTTAACAAAAAATAAATAAAAAAAAGAAAAGAAAAAACTGTAAAATCCATTTTACTAAAAAACTTTTAGCAGCACTGGCACAATTTGCGCAGAAGTGCTTCTAGATGGGCCTGAATGCAAAATGTATTGGAATAGTTTTTTGCTGAAGGATCTCAGTTCTGGTCAATAATTATCGATCATTATGTTGCAATATTGGAATAAATTTCTATCAATAAACTTAGGTTGATGCTTGAAAACGAATCTATATGAAAGCACTTAACAATAGGTGAGGGCACCATTCGATTTCTACTGGGTAACGTTGACCCTCAACACCTACCCCAGCTGTAGAAAGTTTGTGAAAAAATGAATCTTGGTTTTCTGCCTCTACTCTTCTTTGTCACAATCCTGTCTTTTTAATTATAGACTATGATTTATTGGTTAGTTATTGGTTATTTAATACCGAAATCTAAATAGGATGCAACTAATTTGAATGTTTTTGGAGATAATAAAGTTTTAGTGATATAAGTCTTAATATTTAGCACAAAGAAGGGAGGTGAAGAGGTGAATTCTTCCCTTTCCCAAGAGTATTTGTGCGCAGGTGAATATAACGAACCCAACTGGAATGGGAGGTAAAAAGAGGACAACGAAAATAGAGATGTAATCCGAAAAAATGCTATGAGAAATGTGTTATTGTTTTGGAACGTGCGGTCGCAACGTTGAGTTATTACCGAGAAGTAAAAACAAGAACAAAATCTATTTCCATACCTGATGATGTCTGTAGGAACAGACGAAAGTTTGTAAAATTAAAAGACCTTATGCAACTGGAATTTATAAACAGGGATCATATCATTCATATACAGGTTCGGGGTTGGTGTATCTTTTTTATATTGTTTGCGAATTATGTATTCTCGCCATTTAAATCATTAACCTCTATATTTGTTTTTTTTTATGAATGATTCATAAATTTATAAATTATAATTTGCACCTTTAATTGAATATATATATATATATATATATATATATATATATATATATATATATATATATATATATAACAATAAGATAAAAATCTGGTGTTCTTATTGATATTTTTATTTTCATTTTTACAAAATAGTGCTCAATATAAATTTACAGGGCATAAATTTTTATAAATCAACTTATTTAAAATATGTTTTTCGCTTATACAATAATAACCATGTTTCAAAAACTGAAGCTGAAAACTTTAAATTTAATTTTAAAATTAATTTAAATGCATTAGTTCCGTTTCAGCTTCAAGCAAATATTGGAATATTCGTGTGAAGATGAAACGGAACTAATGCTTTTAATTTAATTATAAAATCAAATTTAAAGTTTTCAGCTTCAGTTTTTGAAACATGGTTACTGTGTAGCGAAAAATATTTTTAAATCAGTCAATTTAATATATATATATATATATATATACATACAGAGTGACAGAGAATGAGTGAGAGGAGACAGAGAGAGATAGAGATGTGACGTCGTCCCCCTGGTCGCAGCGTCGAGGTTCGCGACGCCAGCTGTGACGTGACGTGGTCCGGGGTTCTGATCCTATGATCACGACACCAGTTGTGACGTCCTGCTGCGGCGCCAGCTGCTCGCTCCCTCGCTGCTCCAAGTGTGACGCTCTAACCCTTTGGCTAGATGAATACCAGCCTCGTTGTTTTAACCCGCTTCCAACGCCTGGTTACCAGGGTAACTACACTGATCTCCTACCTCCCGACCCGTTCTGTGGACCGTTTTGAACTTTAAGGCTTGAGTTGCTTGCTCTCTAGAAATTTGCATTTCAGGGGTGTGGTTTGGTTTTGGGCGCTGATCTCTACCTGTCGTTCACGGCTGATTTCTCTCGCCGTCCGTTCTCTCTTCAGATTGCCGTTATCTGTTGAATTATTGTTTCATCTCCGCTGTCAGTGCGCGAATTAACTTCTTCTCTTCGGCTTCGGTTGGACGAATTTCTTCACTTCGGTTTGATTCCAACTTCTCCACTTAGGCCAAACGGGCTGCTTCACTTCGGCTTCTCTTGGACGATCTTATTCACTTCGGCTTGGGTTGGCTGAATTTATTCACTTCGACTTGGGTTGGACGAATTTCTTTAGGGCCAAACGAACCGGCCTTTTCTTGCCGCAAAGGGGACTAATGAACAGGGGCCCGCCGTCCGCGCTCCAACTAACTCTTCTCTTCCGCGCTGCAACTCCAACTAACTCTCGCTTCAGAGTCTGAATTATTGTCCACTCATCTCCGCCGTCAGCGCTGCAACTTCTCTGCCTGTCCGGGCCAAACGGACTGGCCTTTCTTGCCCGCAAAGGGCGAATGAACAGGGCCCGCCGTTTTAATTTCTGTCGGTTGGGGTCCCGCTTTTATTGAGGCAGTCAGAAACTGGGGTGGGTCTGTCGGCGCCAGGGTTTTCTTTGATAATTCTAAAGACGTATTATTTAGGGATTTTCCATTTTCGGTGACTTACTTACTTCCTTACTGTGCTATATATACCCGCTTCCCCTGGTCCTTCGTATGTCAGGTGACCGCTCTCGACCAATGGGGGTCCTGGTCGGTGTCTCTCCTCCTCCCTCATGTATCATGTGACCGCCTTCGGCCAATGAAGCTCTGGTCGGTATCTTTCCTCCTTCCTTCGTGACGTCTTTAATCGGGCGTGGACAATCCGTGGCTTTGTTCTAGGGGGGAAACACCTTGCTTAAAAAAAAAAAACTTAAACTGCCCTTTTTCGTACGTGACCGAAAATGACGCACGCGGTATTTAATTTTGGATACGATCTAAGAAAAGAATTTCCTAGACCTCTCGGCGTTTCTCTGAACGCAACAAAATTTCATTCTCCCCGACCGATAATAAAAATCTGTATTATCTCAAAAAAGCGACATCACCCTTTTGGCGTTAACGTGAACTAATAAAAAATATTTCCTTTTCCCTTGCTCGGATGACAACAAAATCTTAATTATCTCAAAAAAAGCATTTTCTAATCATTTTTCAATTCTGGTTCTCGTATTAATGGATTGTCTATATATCCTTAGATAAACTTTCCCATCTGTTACCTATCATATTTTTTCCATTGTCTCTAAACTTTTATTTCTTCAACCAAATTGATAACAACTCCCATCCTCCGCGGACACGGAAGTAGGTCGGTGCTTGACCTGATATTTTTGACATCTGATATGTGCCAGTCGAGCGTGTGTGTTTCGCTTACGACCTGGTTTCGTATTATTTATTTTTCCTTTCTTTCCTTTTCTTTTCTTTTCTTTCTTTCTCCCAGATCGCCTGAATGTAAAGAAAGAATTATTCCTAACCCCGAAATATTTTTCAGCTCTAAATAATTATCAAATGGTTAACAAACCGAAAAAACAAATCATATATTTATGAATATCTCTTTTCAGTTTTCTAATTATGCATGGTGCCACAGAGAGAGAGAGACTGCATTTTTGAATGTATGTCCCCCATCATTTATTACCTGAGATAATTGCATTTTGTAAACAACCAACATAATGTGGTTTAAATCATGAGTTGTACATTTTACATTTACTGGGACATTCCTGTTGTTGCTTGTTGTGGTCATTTTCTACATTTGATTTAATGTAACTTCAATCAAAAATGTTCATAAATTATAACCTTGTTTATTTTCTAAGTACAAACCTTTTTAACATTAACAATGCTTTCTTGTTTTGCTTGTTGTTATTTTTTTTTTTACCTTTTGCTCTTATCAAAAAACACAATACTGTTTATAACCACAACAATAAACTGTTGATACACATTTTCAAAATGAATCTTTCTTTTAATCGACTGAAAGAACCTTTTTTACCTCTAGTAGAGTGACTCATTGCATCTTCTCAGGCTAACATTTTCAGCTTTCATGAAGTGGAAAAATTCTGCTGTTAAGAAAGTTGGTTCCATTCTGTCAAGCTAGACAATTTTCTTGTAGGTCATTTTTGAGATCATCTGCCAATTTGACCATTTCAAACCAATCAGACTTCCTATTTAAACAGGAGTAAATACTTATGTCATCAGCATAGATACCAAATTGAAAAACTGAGGACATTAGGAAGGTCACTGATGAAAATAAAATGAAGAAACATTAATGAAAGAAATAATAAAAATAGATGTAATGTATAATATAAAAATCGGCTCATTCTCCATCCATCATACACTGTCTCATACAATTTACATATACATAAGTAATGTATGTGCCTGTGGTTTGTATGACTGAATTACATATAACTGTCTATATTTCTGAGATGAGGTATTATGTACATCATTTACATTATTCGGACTATTGTCCTCATCTTTGTCGCCATATTTATTACAACGTTTCGGCCGTTGTACGCTCCGGCCTTCTTCAGGTGGTTGGAATGTTGAACTGAACCCTTTATTTCGC